GAAAAAAAGTGTCCAATGCGGGAATCGAACCCGGGTCGTAGTGGTCGAAAACCAAACGGTTTAACCAGCCTTCCACCGACCCCCATACAGTTCTTCAGTTTAAGACTAATATATAAATGTGAATGTACATGGTTATATCTTTATAATGTTGCTCTTCCTTCATACACAGGTGAAATATAAGAGATCTATTTAGCTAGGAATGAAAAGAAACGACATAATCATTTGAAAAATTCCATCAAAAAAATCCATGAATGCATATAACCTACTTATATCGGAAATGCGTTCGAAAAAATCAATGGGAATTGTATTTGTGCGTGAAATGGCATTCGTTCTTTTCACTGATCTTTTTGCGATGACCTGCAGATTGACTTTCACGCTGACTTGTTGCCGATCAGCTTCGGATTTGTAATAAAGAAGAAATTGGCGAAGATCCATCCCGAGCGTAGAAGATCATTTGTCGCCGTCAAGTCAGTTCTTCCGAAAGATTTGGAACGAATTTACAGGCAGATAGATTGGCTTAGGATTTGAATCCTTCGTTTCTGTTTTCTTGGATGATCACAGGCCCAATGTCCCTCGTAACATGTTTCGCCCAGGATCTGTGTTTAAGCAAAATATCTTCAAATTAAAGATACTTCGGCCAGTAAATCTATTGTCTCGACGTTTCGACAAAAAAAAAAAAAAGATTTTTAACGCTTTGCCAAATGTTTTAATTTTGTTCGCTCCTGACGAGGACAAAATATTGTCGAAACGTCGAGATAATAGAAAAGATTTACTGGCTCGAAGTATCTTTAGTTTGAAGAAATATATGAATTTCGGCCAGGCAGCCTCTATATTTACTATAAGTAATGTATCATATAGCAAATGGAAACATTTAGACTCGAATCTTTCTGTTAGGTTTTTTAAATTATTATTATATTGTATTATATTAATTAATTATAATTCATATTCATAGAATTTTATTGTTACTTATCATCATTATTTTTGTTGTTGTTTTTTTCTTCTTTTTTTGTGTTAATATAGTCTCTTTTTTTTTGTGTGTTAATAATACAACTAAATCGCATTAAATCTTAGTGCAATTCTTTTTTGTTGTTTGAAATAAATTGAATTGAATCGAAGTGAGTCAGCTCGTTCTTTCTAGAAGAAAGTTCAAAGAAAACGTGTTAACAGTTTCTTTTATACATATATCAAACATCTACTGTCCTTACTACGATGAAAAAATATATTGGGAGGTTTTGAATCATCAGTGGTAAACCCTCCCAGCGGTTTCTTCAATTTTTTAATCTACCAGACCGCTTCTTTAGAGTTTTAATACTGTATTGGATCATTCTGCTTTTATATGCTACATTGAAGGGTGGAATCTCAGAAATGGTATTTAAGCAAACTATGGACATAAGCTTTTAGGACAGTAGAATTACATATAATATTTGCATTGAGCAATGCTCTTCCGCAAACAATAATCATATAGGCAGAACCCTCATTCTGTGTGTATTCATGGACAAAACTAAGAAAGTGGAAAGTCACCAGTCGTCTTTTTTTTTTAAGGAGACAGAGGCAATTTTGTTCACACTTGATTATATCGTGTGCCTTCAATAAAGATCACTGTAATATCTTTCATAGTTATTATCTGAATCCCGATAAACATGCTAAAAGGTACAACTCCCTTAAGCAGAATTCAATTGTAGATACATGCAATCTATCCATGCAGTCAAAATCGCACAACACTGGCTATAATTCGACATAAGCCTATGTTGAAAGAGAGAAGGCTCCATCTTTGAAAATGTTTCCGAAATATATATTTTTTTTTTTCAAAAAGAGGGAACAATAAGCTTAAAGGAGCTATCGTGAACAAAAGGTCGGATAGTAACCGCTATTAATTATTGGATGAAATATGACGTTAGAATTACATGGTGGTGCTCAATTATTGCCCAGGGTTTGTTTGCTGGTCCTTTTTTTTATTGAATCTCCTTTTATTACAGCTCGTCTTGGCACCAAGCTTGTTTTTGTTTATTCATCGTTTTTGGCATTCCACTCTTGTGCTATTTCTTTCTACAACTCCATCTTTCTCTCCCATCTACATATATGTTTAAATCATTCTTTTTAACCAAAGAAATAGCGATTTTTTTAACGATATTTTGTTATGATTTTATATGGTTGTTTCAAAGGTTCGTGTTTTTCTTATTACTTTGTGAATAATATTATTACGGTGAATACATAATAATACTATTACTTTATACAAAATCAATAACTTTGAGAGAAAATACTTCCATGTAACTTGGAACCACGTTCTTTATGTACTTTATGAAGAGCCGTTCTATGTAGCTATCTGCCCTTTTACATATGAAGAGGCATTAGTTAACGAACAGAGGAAAGACTAACACAGAACTTGGCTATTTCAGTACAGCTAACTAACTTCATCCAATATGAAGAGACATCAAAAGGAGATATATCCTTAAGCTTTAAAGAAATATGAAGAGACATGAGATAACGTACAGAGGAAAGACTAACACAGAACTTGGCTATTTCAGTACAGCTAACTAACTTCATCCAATATGAAGAGATATCAAAAGGAGATATATCCTTAAGCTTTAAAGAAATATGAAGAGACATGAGATAACGTACAGAGGAAAGACTAACACAGAACTTGGCTATTTCAGTACAGCTAACTAACTTCATCCAATATGAAGAGATAACAAAAGGAGATATATCCTTAAGCTTTAAAGAAATATGAAGAGACATGAGATAACGAACAGAGGAAAGACTAACACAGAACTTGGCTATTTCAGTACAGCTAACTAACTTCATCCAATATGAAGAGATATCAAAAGGAGATATATCCTTAAGCTTTAAAGAAATATGAAGAGACATGAGATAACGAACAGAGGAAAGACTAACACAGAACTTGGCTATTTCAGTACAGCTAACTAACTTCATCCAATATGAAGAGATATCAAAAGGAGATATATCCTTAAGCTTTAAAGAAATATGAAGAGACATGAGATAACGAACAGAGGAAAGACTAACACAGAGCTTGGCAATGTCAGTGCAGCTAACTGACTTAATCAAATATGAAGAGGCATGAGATAACATACTGAAGAAAGACAAACACAGAGCTTGGCAATATCAGTGCACAGATAACTGACTTCATCCAATTTGAAGAGGCATGAGATAACATACTGAAGAAAGAGTAGCAAAGATCTTAGAAATGTCAGTGCGCAGCTGACTCCATCAAAGATGAAGAGGCGTGAGATAACCTTCGAAGATAAAACAGAGATTAGCTATGTCACAGTGCATAGATAACTGTCTTCATCCAATTTGAAGAGACATGAGATAACATACTGAAGAAAGAGTAGCAAAGATCTTAGAAATGTCAGTACAGACACAGGCGTACAGACTTCGGTCTAGATAGCCCACTATCCAGTAGTGTCAGTACAGCTAACTAACTTCATCAAATATCAAGAGGCATGAAGTAACGTACAGAGAAAAGAGACAGATCTCGTACTGATCGATCTCGATAACGTACGGAAGAAAGACTAATAGAGAGCTTGACAATGTCAGTGCACACACACAGCTAACTGACTTCATCAAATATGAAGAGGCATGAGATAACATAAAGAGGAAAGAGACAGATTTTGACAATGCCAGTGAACAAACACAGCCAAATGACTTCATAAAGTATGAAGAGGCATGAGATAGTACAGCCACAGGCATGCAAACTTCGGTCTAAGTAGCCCATTATCCAATGATATCAGTACAGCTAACTGACTTCATCAAATATGAAGAGGCATGAGATAAGGTAAGGAAGAAAAAATACATAACTTTTTTTTGCTTATCCCTAATACACGTGGTACAGGCCATTATAACCATGGTGGGTAGAGGTAGGCGACTACTTTTACTGTAAGTGCACCACATGTCTACACATGTAAAAGCAGTTCGACTTTACACTTACAAATGTACCAGAGCTCCGTTTGATTACTTGCACTTGCTGGGGTTGGACTTTTGTAAGAATCGGGAATCATTGGAGCATTTTTTTTAAATAGAAAAAATGCCCAATGTAGGAATCGAACTTGTGTCGTAGCGGTCAAAAACCAACGGTTTAGATCATCCTTCCACCGACCCCCAAGAGACAGATATTGACAATGCTAGTACAGCTAAGTAGCCGCTAACAGCTAGCTAGTACTTAAAAGTATCTAACGATCTATCCAGTAAGAAACGTCATATCTGACAAGGAAGAAAGAACGCAGGCGCTCCAATTTAAAATTCCGAACCTGAAAATGGCCATCTAAAAAAATCGTTGGATTGGAACCGTTAACACGCATGCGCCTTGCCATTAACCTACTAATTCATATTTTCCCAATATGTCTAGAATTATTGATGACATAATTTAACGGTTTTTCTTTGTTTGCTTATTTATTTAGGTAGGTATCTCGGCGGTTGAATCCGATATTTAATTGAAGGAGCCATTGATTTGTCGATGATTTCTTTTGGCCAAGGTGCTAACGTGTGTTCTGATCCAACTTTGATGATGTCCATATGGCCTTACGTGAGGCCATTTCGTCTTATATCGGTTGACTGAAATTTTGATGACTTACCGATTTAATTCTCCAAATCTATTTACCAGTTTAAAACAAGACACGCTATATCCAATCTGGATAATTGCGTGTGAAACTATTTATTATAATTGTAGTAGAGTAGATATATAACATAATTATCAAAAAGAAAATAAATAATTAAGAAAAAGAGTATTAAATAAACATATACATTAAACAAATAAGCAACAACATAAGCAGATAGAAGAAATCGCAAGGTAGTTATTTACAGTATATTAAACAATGATGGAAGTTGATTTAATGAAGTTATCTGTAATAATTAGTATCGTGGAGAGAGAAAGTTGATTAATTTGAGCTATTTACATTGAGTTATATTCTAAAGTAACTTATTAATTATTTGAATGTTCTTTAAATGGTAGGATTGAATCATTTATAGGCCTACATAAATAGCCTATGGCCATACCATATTGAAAACACCGGTTCTCATCCGATCACCGAAGTTAAGCAATGTCGGACTCGGTCAGTACTTGGGAGGGTGCCACCTTGGCTTTAGAGTATTACCTTTTGGGGCTTAAAAAGCTCCGTAAATAAATATATTTTCGAACTATCTACATACTTGTTCCGCTGTTCTCTGAACAATCACAAGGATCTATAGACCTTCTGATATTTCTATAAATATAGATAAATATATTCCAGTTGGTCTCAAGGACCACGCCATCACCATCTCCTCAGCGGTGAAGTACGTTATCTACGTATTCTTTGTAGATCACGAAATACCTGGTGTCGCTGGAGACCCGCTGGCGATTCTCCACCAAACTCTGCAGCGGTGGTAGAGGTGCCATATTCTTTGTACATAGAGTTATATATATATATATAATTATTTTTTTTTAAATAGTACAGACTGTGCACTTAGCATGTATTGACAAGATGTCAAAAATATTATTTTAATTGTCTATAAATATAGACTCGTAAATTTATAAATTTAATTGCCATCTATCGATTTAATGTGTAACAATTATATTTACTGGGGCAATGTGTTTCTGTTAAATAATATTATCAAATCAAAAACAAATTCTACAGGTTTCTGGAGATGCGTTTCTTCATCTATATTGAACGTAATATCAAGCTTTCAGGCATCTCTGCCCTTCTACAGGAGTACATAGAAACGTAGAGTACATATGTTTCTATAAAAATTCGAAACTTTATTTTAAAGTCGTAAGATTCTTTTTGAAATTAAATAATTTCTACTGCCCTTACTGCTATGTAAAAATTAATGGAGGGCCTGGTTCATCAGTGGTGAACCCTCTCAGCGGTTTCACCAGTTTAATCTAACATACCTCTTTTATATTACTTTTTTCCATCTTCCTTTTATAATGATACTGTTGCTAGACTCTTGGAATGGGTATTTTAGATGAACTATGGACATAAGCTTTGAGGACAGTAGAATTATATACAATTATAAATATATAATATGATTCGAGCAATCGCTCTCCCGCAAACATCAAATTGAGTCTTTTATTAGAAAATTTATATTATGATGCATTAGGGCGCCATCTGTTATGAAAATTCGAAACTATTTTAGAAGCGTAAGATTATTTAATTTCAAAAATAATCATTCGCGTCTATAATAGTTTCGAATTTTCATAACAGATGGCACGCTAGTGCATCGTAATATGTTCCTATGTTTCTATAGAAAGTGCCTAAGTGAGAATTCTCTTTTTCATTATTTAAACATAATCACGTTCTATTATTGAAATCAAAGAACTTAAAGTACACTCTGTGTAACAGTGAATTCAGCCAGGACACACTTCATGTTTTATTGACCGCTAATGGAGGATGGGAGAGTAATTCTCTGACAGAATATTGGTTATGAAAACAATTCGCCATATGTTTTATTGGCAAAAGTAGTGAAAAGCAAGACCATTGCATTGAATTTTTGCAAATTCTGGAGAACAGCACAGTCTAAAAGGCATAACACAGAAGATAGAACCAACTTGAGGAAAGAGTGATGTTATTCTCCACTTTCTGTAGATAATTTTTTTTTGTTTCATTATTCCAGTGTATAATTAAACAAAGTCATCAACTTTACCACAGTTTTACCCACCATGGAGACTTATATATAAATTATTATTAACACATTATTTGTAAAATTAGTAAATAATAAAAATACAGAAAATAAAATAATACAAAATGAGATCCCCAATCATTTAAGCTTGTACTAAAGAATATTTCAAAGATTAAAATGGCTTTGTTTTTTTAAAATATAGGATCTGCCGTTTTGTCCAAGTTTATGCTATTATGATAGGGATTTTTTTTGTAGTATTTCAGTACTGTAAGTATTATATATTCCAATCAATGGTATTTCGTATGTATCCATTGTCCTTCGCGACTTGTGTCTTCGTCAAATGCCCTCCAGAGAATTGCACATGACTTCAATCCAAAACTTGAAAATCCGCAGATAAGTGAGTGCCTATTCTAGAGCAAAATTATGACGTGTCTGATCCCACTCCAAAGGACAAGGCTGAGGCGAGAGTTGGACACTGCTAACTCTCCGAAACAAGTGACACACGGCGAAGTAAAGAAAAAACGCGAAGCCAGGAAGAAAAAAAAAAGAGGCGAGAGAGAGAAAGGAAAACTTCTCCTTCTATTGGAACAATAGTTGAGACAGATCGCTCTTTCCCTCGTCGCTCTAATTGTGCCGCTCGATGTCTGTGGCGGACCTTTTGTCGGAGGTGCCAGCTTTCTTGGACCATCTTCTATCCCTGTGGTCAGGGGTTCTTGGACCATCTTCTATCTTTGTAGTCGGATGTTCTTGGACCATCTTCTATCCCTGTGGTCGGTGGTTCTTTGACCATCTTCTATCCCTGTGGTTGGGGATTCTTGGACCATCTTCTATCCCTTTGGTCGGAGCTGCCAGCTTTCTTGGACCATCTTCTATCCCTGTGGTCGGAGGTTCTTGGACCATCTTCTATCTCTGTGGTCGGAGGTACTTGGATCATCTTCTATCTCTGTGGTCGGGGGTACTTGGACCATCTTCTATCTCTGTGGTCGGGGGTACTTGGACCATCTTCTATCTCTGTGGTCGGGGATTCTTGAACCATCTTCTATCCCTGTGGTCGGTGGTTCTTAGACCATCTTCTATCCCTGTGGTCAGGAGTTCTTGGACCATCTTCTATCCCTGTGGTCGGTGGTTCTTAGACCATCTTCTATCCCTGTGGTCGGTGGTTCTTAGAACATCTTTTATCCCTGTGGTCAGGAGTTCTTGGACTATCTTCTATCTCTGTGGTAGGGGGTTCTTGGACCATCTTCTATCTCTGTGGTCGGGGGTACTTGGACCATCTTCTATCTCTGTGGTCGGGGGTTCTTGGACCATCTTCTATCTCTGTGGTAGGGGGTTCTTGGACCATCTTCTATCTCTGTGGTCAGGGGTTCTTGGACAATCTTCTATCTCTGTGGTCGGATGTTCTTGGACCATCTTCTATCCCTGTGGTAGGTGGTTCTTGGACCATCTTCTATCCCTGTGGTTGGGGATTCTTGGACCATCTTCTATCCCTGTGGTCGGAGCTGCCAGCTTTCTTGGACCATCTTCTATCCCTGTGGTCGGAGTTTCTTGGACCATCTTCTATCCCTGTGGTCGGGGGTACTTGGACCATCTTCTAGCTATGTGGTAGGAAGTTCTTGGACTATCTTCTATCTCTGTGGTAGGGGGTTCTTGGACCATCTTCTATCCCTGTGGTCGGTGGTTCTTAGACCATCTTCTATCCCTGTGGTCGGTGGTTCTTAGACCATCTTCTATCCCTGTGGTCAGGAGTTCTTGGACCATCTTCTATCCCTGTGGTCGGTTGTTCTTAGACCATCTTATATCCCTGTGGTCGGTGGTTCTTAGACCATCTTCTATCCCTGTGATCAGGAGTTCTTGGACCATCTTCTATCCCTGTGGTCGGTGGTTCTTAGACCATCTTATATCCCTGTGGTCGGTGGTTCTTAGACCATCTTCTATCCCTGTGGTCAGGAGTTCTTGGACCATCTTCTATCCCTGTGGTCGGGGGTTCTTGGACCATCTTCTATCCCTGTGGTCGGGGGTACTTGGACCATCTTCTATCCCTGTGGTAGGGGGTTCTTGGACTATCTTCTATCTCTGTGGTAGGGGGTTCTTGGACCATCTTCTAGCTCTGTGGTAGGGGGTTCTTGGACCATCTTCTATCTCTGTGGTCGGGGGTACTTGGACCATCTTCTATCCATGTGGTCGGGGGTACTCGGACCATCTTCTATCCCTGTGGTAGGGGGTTCTTGGACCATCTTCTATCTCTGTGGTCGGGGGTTCTTGGACCATCTTCTATTCCTGTAGTCGGGGCTGCCAGCTTTCTTGGACCATCTTCTATCCCTGTGGTCGGGGGTACTTGGACCATCTTCTATCCCTGTGGTCGGTGGTTCTTAGACCATCTTCTATCCCTGTGGTCGGGGGTACTTGGACCATCTTCTATCCCTGTGGTCGGGGGTTCTTGGACCATCTTCTATTCCTGTAGTCGGGGCTGCCAGCTTTCTTGGACCATCTTCTATCCCTGTGGTCGGGGGTACTTGGACCATCTTCTATCCCCGTGGTTGGGAGTTCTTGGACCAACTTCTCTCCCTGTGGTAGGGGGTTCTTGGACCATCTTCTATCTCTGTGGTCGGGGGTTCTTGGACCATCTTCTATTCCTGTAGTCGGGGCTGCCAGCTTTCTTGGACCATCTTCTATCCCTGTGGTCGGGGGTACTTGGACCATCTTCTATCCCTGTGGTCGGTGGTTCTTAGACCATCTTCTATCCCTGTGGTCGGGGGTACTTGGACCATCTTCTATCCCTGTGGTCGGGAGTTCTTGGACCAACTTCTATCCCTGTGGTAGGGGGTTCTTAGACCATCTTCTATCCCTGTGGTCGATGGTTCTTGGACCATCTTCTATCCCTGTGGTCGGGGGTTCTTGGACCATCTTCTATCCCTGTGGTCGGGGGTACTTGGACCATCTTCTATCCCTGTGGTAGGGGGTTCTTGGACTATCTTCTATCTCTGTGGTAGGGGGTTCTTGGACCATCTTCTAGCTCTGTGGTAGGGGGTTCTTGGACCATCTTCTATCTCTGTGGTCGGGGGTACTTGGACCATCTTCTATCCATGTGGTCGGGGGTACTCGGACCATCTTCTATCCCTGTGGTAGGGGGTTCTTGGACCATCTTCTATCTCTGTGGTCGGGGGTTCTTGGACCATCTTCTATTCCTGTAGTCGGGGCTGCCAGCTTTCTTGGACCATCTTCTATCCCTGTGGTCGGGGGTACTTGGACCATCTTCTATCCCTGTGGTCGGTGGTTCTTAGACCATCTTCTATCCCTGTGGTCGGGGGTACTTGGACCATCTTCTATCCCTGTGGTCGGGGGTTCTTGGACCATCTTCTATTCCTGTAGTCGGGGCTGCCAGCTTTCTTGGACCATCTTCTATCCCTGTGGTCGGGGGTACTTGGACCATCTTCTATCCCTGTGGTCGGTGGTTCTTAGACCATCTTCTATCCCTGTGGTCGGGGGTACTTGGACCATCTTCTATCC